TAATAACGAGAGATTTTAGATCAAAATGTTTAAGTGTTCATTGTTAGTGGCCTCATAAATATTAGAGATTATGAGATCATATTTCTAAATCACATAGAACGTTAAACGAATTGAATGTGTCTTACGTCATTGCATGGATTAAAAAACTTGGGGGGAATGTCACGTCTCCTTTATTTACATTCAGAAGTTTGGATAACTTATTTAAAAGTTAGACATTTTGCTGTCCTTAAAAATATCTAATTTATTACAGTTTGCAACACTGAACAAACAATTCAAAAGACAAAATAATCTTTTGTAATTATGACGAATAAAAGACAACTTGTTTCTCTTGTTTCTTTGAGAGAATTTAACGTTTTTATTTACTATTATTGCTCCAAGCAAAATTTGGGTGCACCTGTTAATGGCGTAAGGCCGGTTCTGGCAAATTTATCCTCATCACAGCTCAAATCATATTTCCATAATTAAAGTTTTACAGTTGCTGTTAAGTGAAGAACGTAATAAGCGTACTGTGGAAAAAATGTATATGCTCCTCCTCCTGCCAGTTGCATTTAGCACATGCTCATTAACTTTGCAGAATAAGGAAAAGTGTCTGTGTAATTCTATCCCATTGCGTGTTATCTATATTTTGTTCTTTGTTAATTTCTCTTTACTAGACAAATGAATCTGGTAGAAAATGTTTCCGCAAAGAGAAAAGTACTAATATTTAAATATACTGACCTATACGAGTTATTTTATGATGTCAATTTGATTAGTATTTCTGATTGGAAATAACAAAACTTGAATAAAAAGGGTAAGAAAGAATAAGGTTTCAGAAACAACAAATATCGAGTTATCAAGGTTTAATTGCATATTCAGACACGAAAAAGACTTGAAATATATTTTTCGGGATATCTATAAACTTAATATAGTAAACATATCTTTAATCTCATATATTTATTACATAATACTATATACAAGGTAACTGATATGGCGACTGATATTATGACCTTGAATTAATTTGTTATAGTCAAATCGTGACATACATTTTCTACTCTGACATGATTTTTTTAATATCTTGGAATTAAGATATTTTACTTTGATATGAATCACCTACTTAAATTCTCAATTATTGAAATAAAATCACTTAACTGAAATTTGTGATACAGCTTAAACAATTTAATCTCGTTTTTCTATAATAATAGTAGGGTTTAAGTAGGGCAAATTAAAAATTGTAGAAAGGTGTTTTAAGTAATATTTTGGGGTTATTCGACCACTAACGTGTGTTTTATTACTAAAGCTAAATTATTTTTTAAAATAAAACTTTTACCAACACTTTTTTAAGCATTATATTCATATACACAATAATGATGTACTATGATACGTATGCAATGATGTTAAGATTCTAGCCTCTAATCTTGATTACCATCGTCCTACTTGTGAATTCAACAAGTGTTCTTTAATTTCTACTCTTATAAATTCAACAGTCACGTAGGAGTTTGTTTATAAACCATGCAGTTAATATATATATATGTATGTAAAATATAAAAAAATAGGACGGCTTTGTTCTATGCGAACCAGCAACCTTTAATTAACTTTCTGAAATTTAGAATCTTTTCCCTAGACCAGTACTTTCGAGAACATTCGAGCCTATTACGTACCGCTCCTATAAATAGAGAACTCGCGCCATTTTGCTTCAGAGAGACTGTTTTCTCCTTCTGCTGCTAAGACCTAATGCTGCTGGTCTTCTCCTATGCCTTCTCTTTGTTAAAATAGTTATGACGTCAAAAGCCTAGATTTCATCGTATTTAGTTTGAAACACTATTTGATATGTAATTAGGAGAATTTCATCTAAAAGAAAGATTATCTGCCATTGGAATTGAATAAAGATGTGCAATTAAAAGCAAAATCCTTCTGCGTCATCATTTTTCTGCCTCAACACTCAGCCACAGCAATGCCCGGACTTTGATGCCAAGCTTCGTCATTCATGTCCACGACTGCTAAAATATCACATGTATATATGTAATGTTTTCCAAGCACAGTCCCGTTGGTTGAGTGGTAGGGCGAGAGGAAGAAGTTGATATTAAACTAAGTTCACCCAATTATTATCTTTATTCCCAGATTTCCAGGCACACTAGAAATAATTCCTCATAGACAACATACTCTTTAATCATAACAATTACGATAATTTCTTATACACATTTTATTTTTTTTTTTTAAAGAATTACACAGGTATTTTAAAGAAGCGAAGCGAGGAGATATTAGCAAGATAGAAGCTAGCAGAATAATGACAGAATTAACTCGCCAAGGAGTTTATATTAAGTCTGAAGTATAAGTAGAGCTAATCTGTGATTGGTTAATATTAGTTTTTTCAAATAGCGTTACGTAACATAGAAAAATCTCGAATTTGGGAGAACAGATGAATTTAGGGGGAGAGCGTCAAATCTAGAATGTTAATTTTGAGATCGCCAATTACTTTTGTAGCAGCTAGCGTATTTTCTTATATATACACATATATGTATATAGCTTAAAAACTCTTAATTACGTCATAATCTATCCTTAAAAATGAAACAACAGTTTGTAACCCAAAACCCCGAAATAAACTAACAAAACAGACTAAATATTCCGTAACAAATAACAAATGGTATAGGATTATGCAAAGTAACTTTAATGTGTATAAGGAACTAAGCTAGATAAACCGTTTTTCAAAAGGATGGTTTCATCTTCCTTTAAAATTAGAATTAGCAAAAAATGACAAGATTAAGCATAGTCATAATCACAGAATTTTGAAAAATGTTTTAACTGGCTTAATCTATTTTACATATAAAAATTACTCTTTTGTTTACTTTGCATAATCTTGACCGTGTACTTGATATTATGAAATATTTTGTTTTGTAATTTTTATTGCATTTTTTTCGTATTACAAAATGATTATTTAATTTTTGTGATTAGGCTGTGAGGTAATTGAGAAAGTTTTTAAGCTCCTTTCGTTTTAATATATATATATGCATATTGTGCTTGCACTAAAACTGAGCGCTACTAATGAACACTGCATTTTTTTATTATATTCTCCACTGGTATTTTGTACTCCATATTTTCACATACATACATATGTATTGAATATTTATTAAATGCTTTCCTTTCTCTCTAATTATAACTTTTGCTCGTTACCTACTCACGGACTCGTTAGTCAAAGAAGAATGTTGCGAAAACGATCTCGGTTGTTAACTGATCAGTGCGCTGAGGAAACTGCTTTCGTTTTTACAAAATGTTTGTAAAGCAGATGAATATTTTAAAAATAGAAAATGTATAGTCCTCCACTCTTTACACAGTTTGCTAAACTTTATTGCCAATATGAATATATGGTCAATTCATAAAAACTTAATTTTAAAAGTTTGTTATTTATTGTGTAAAATAATGGCATAAAAATGTCAGTTTATTCAGAGTATCGTTAAATAATTTAAACTAATAGAATGGCTTAGAAGTACTCAGTATCAATTTGTAGAATCGATTAAGCGTTTTCGAAGCAGAAAGTACGAAACACGAACAATGTCTTTTCCGGGAAACGAATTCAGTGTCTCCAAATGCTAGCCGGACCTGCTGAAATGACATCATGAAGATACATAGTAAGAAGGCCAAAAAATGAACTACATATTCTTCAAATTTATAAATTCGAAGTCTGCTCTAAAAGGGATATGTTATTATTACATTATTACAAAGAACACGGCTGCTGTCTACTTGAGATTTGATTAGATTCATTGAATAATACAAGGCGGACGATTACTATGTGCCTAAGAAATCTGATGCCTTCGTGAAGGACTTTATAAAGAAAACTGGGAAGTATTCACTTCACACATAAGAAAGCCACGAAATTCAGCCATCCAGCCAGCGTATTTGCTTAGAATCTAACAAGGGGGAAAACTTCCAGTATTCGGCGATCTTAAGCACTCCGACGTCTAATGAGGTCTATGGTCTGCGGTGAGAGATGCCTTTATGTAGGATTTCGTAAAGGAAACTGGATTGTATTCATAGGGAAAACCACAAGAAAGTTGCAAATAAATATGAGGGAAACCATTAAAATACGGCTTGTCGCTAGAATTCAAGCGGGGCTCGAAATAAGAGTACTATTCTGCGGCTTTACCATTCGGTAGCTGGTGGAAAAACTCTAAATGAATAGGTCAGTGAACTTCTGTACGCTTCTAATTAAGATAAATTTGCTTTCTTTTTATTTTGTAGTTCAGATAACATACGAAACAAATTATTTCCTTCAGTTGCTTCAGCTTTTATATTTGGCTAATAGAAAAGTATATTTTAATTATAACAGCCCTCTGTCATAGTACTTCGAACTTTAACATTTTACAAAGTTAGAACCGAAAATACTTTAAAAGTGCAACAGTAATTACATGTTATGATAGTCTTTAGTGAAACCAGTGTTTACTTGGACTGAGGACTTTATTTGTTTAACTCTAATAAGCTCAAAAATTCAAGCGATATTAAAAGGAAAATGCAGCATTAGATAGCAACAAATTATCCAGAAAGCTCGAATATATTTCTTCACTTTTTGAAAAAAAGAATATTAAGCTGTTTCAGTCGTGATATACTAGAATACATCAAAAGAATTATTTTCTCATAGAATGCAAGTCGAAAACAAAATGCCATAATATTAAAGAATTCTCCATTAACTTCAAAATTTCATTAAATTGTACAAATACTCTATATTAATTCCTTACGAAAATATCAAAGTATGTACACAATCTGAAATGAAATCAGAATTCATAGACTCCATCATATTTCTCAGCTTAGTGCATCCAAATTTTTTTTATCAGTGCTGAGTTGTATTTACAGCTGTCAGGAAAGCTGCATATATCTAATGCTTGCTGAAGTGAGTTTGCTGAAGAATATCTATAATTCATGTTACAGCTGCTTAAAATTATACTTACATCTCAATGAGTAATTGGTACCTTTCACGAACGTTTGCTCAAAATTTTATGTTTATAAACTAGTATATTTAAATTAAATCTTACCTCCGTGTCCTGTTGCACATGCATAGACTATCCAACCGATCGCCAGAGCCCATGAAGGTCTGTGAACTGCAGCATAGAAGATGGCTAATCCTCTCTCCATTGGACGGCCATCGTGATAAGGATGTAGTCCAAATATTATTGCAGAACACGTAACGAATGAAGCCAACCACAGAAAGAAAGACACATGCTGGAAATGTAATAGTAAATATATAATGAATGCAGGCAATCACAGAATGGAAAGCATGTGATGATAATTCTTTGTGAGTAAAAGAAGAGTAAAGCCAGTCACAAAAAAAAAAAAAAAAAAAAAAAAAAACCACACAAATTAGAAAATATGAAACCTGATGAAGACAAAAGCAGAAAATTTAAAGATGAGTAATGTGATCGTTTTAACATGTAGTGCATGGACCACGAAAAAAATAATCCGCACATGCAAAGTGTCATTGAAAAGTTATTAATTGAAGTTATCTTAAAATCTTTAATTAACTATTACTCATTCCATTAAGACAAAATTTCTGATTTCCTTGAAAATTATTTGCAGTCTATAAAGATTTATTTTAAATATAGAAAAAGCATATATATGCTCTGGAGCCTAGGGCGATATTAAAAGACAAGTTTGGGTATTTACTATATAAGCAATAACAGAAATACTTCGGATCTAAGTCATAGTGTTTCATTTGCTTAGAATAGTTGAAAAAAATTTTACAAAAATTAATAAAAACTGATAAAATAGCGCTTTTTTCTTAACACTTTGAATGCAGGAATCGATCTAAAACGAAAGGTACGATATATATATTTATGCTTTGAAAAGCTTGTAACTCCTAAGGTCCTAAGACAAACTGGGAATTTGCGGTTTCATTTGCGGTTTTCATTCCATTCATTTGCGGTTTTGCAGCTGAAGATGGTGGTTCGGTAAAACCATCGAAACTAGTCCTGTGAAAATTTTGTAAATATAACGCTGATTTTTGTTGTTTGACTTCTGAATTAGTATGGGAATTATTTGTTCTCAAACTCAGCTGCTGACGTCTATTGTTTGATGAGCATCTATTCTTGAAAACACTTAAGACGTTAGATAAGACTCAGAACTTAATTAAGCGTGAGCAGCCTATGTATGGAATTATGGAACAACCATAGTTTCATACATAGGCTGCCTATTAAAACCCTTTTTGAATTAAAACATGCATGATTTTCACAAAACATATCGTTTGTCCATATTTTTTGGAATTTTCCAATTTATTCCCCATTTTCTCATTTTTTTAAAAACCTGGAAAAACTTAAGCATCATAAATTTTAATAAAAAGACACAAAATACATAAAAGAGAACAAAAAATAATCAAAATAATTTTAAAATCAAGTATTTTTTACATTATTTTCACATCCTAAATTTAAAAAGAATTCAGATAAGAGTATATTAAAATTTCAGAAAAAATATAGAAAATTCATTTTAATTATTAAAATAAATAACCATTTTCTATTAATTTAAGAAACATTTCTGCAAAACGCCCTCTAGATGCAACCGAATTCTTTTAATTATTTTTATTTTCGGGAGGGCGTCTCGTCGTCTACGGTTGCCCCTTTTCGATGTTATGAATAACCCCCAGACGTTGGCCCCCATCGGCCTTATGCTGATGCAGAGGTCTCGAACTTGCAGCGTCGCAGGATTCGAATAAACGATGAATTTTTCCTTGACTTTTCCAGCTGGTCTGTTGGATGGGACATTTACAACCGAATCTAATTTTATTTATAAGCTTAAAAAGTTAAACCTTCAATTTCTTTTTTCGTATATAATTTGAAGAATATGCATAAAATATTCTTATTTATTTTTATAATTTAAATACTGTTAAACGGTTTACAGGAATGGTCTTATATATTTTTTGTTCTTTCATACCCTGAAAAGGGGGATGTTTTGTAGAACCCTTTTTTCATAAATTTTTAAAAGATATTCAAATTTTATAAAATAAAAGGGGGTCTTGTACTTCCCTTTTTCCTAAAACTTTAAAAAATATGACCCCCCTGGGAGGAGGGTCATAATTTATTATATATTCTGATGATTTCATGTTTTTCCCAGACTGAAAAGATTATTCTGATGGTTTAAGTGTATAAAATATACTTCCCGTTATTTACTCCTTCAAAATGAAATACATAGCTACCACTGTTAATTTCAGAAACACTCTCATAAGAAAGTTGACCATATTTTTCAGCGAGATAAAATTCTCTTGTTTCATTATTAACAATTAATTCTATAACGTCTTCATCAGGAGCAACAAATTCTGGAAAAACGAGAAAGTCGATCATAGACTAAACAGGACACATTTTTGTGAATATGAAAAGCTTCACAGTTTAAAAAAAAGATTGTAGTCGAAAATATTAGTGGTGTAAAATTAAGCATCTACAAGCCATCACATGTCGATAACATCGCAGACATGAGTTTTTCAAGTTTTAAAACATGTAAATGCATATTAGCTTAATGATTTGTAAGCGCAAGAAGAAATGAGGAATATTTTTAGACAAGAAAAAATCATAAGCATTTAAAAACTGAAAATTTGTGAAACTTAATGTTACTTGTAGCAATTAATAGGATTTAAAGACTTCTAGTCTGAGCGAGCAACATAACAAGACAAAGCATGTACAATACATAAATAAACATTAAGTAGTCTTTTATATTCCTCTCAAAGAACTAGGTATCAGATCCGCTATAAACCTGCAGAGCTTTTACAAAATCCATATCAGCCTAAGATTTTTTTATTTGTAAGCAAAGTTTAAAATATTATTTAATTATTATTACAATTAAATATCTTATTCCTATCTCACAATGCAACAAAACAACTTACGCTGGTGCTTCCAGTGCTGCCATCTATTGCACAGATTACATAATTGATAGCAGTTGTAAAATAGCCTGAGTGTAATGTATTCCTATATAAACAGCTGCAACAAGTATAAAATTATTGTCTTATGAAAATTTTTTTTTGATGATCGGGTCACATGTCTTAGAAAGAGAATGGCAAACAACTCTTCAGAAGAATTCTGAAATATCGTACAAAAAATATGTACAGATAGTTCACAATGGTGCTCATAGATGGCACCAGTACTAATTTCCGTAGAAACTACGAAACAGTTTTCTTTCTCTCGCATATATATTTCTGATAAATAAATCCTTGAGTAATTTATGTTTATAGTGTCGAACGATCGACTTAGAACATAACATGTTAACACATATGCTTTATTTAATTTGCTGCATTTTTTGCTAAGCAAAATGTCTTGATTTAACGTTTAATTTTCGACCTGTTTGCTTCAGGCCAAGTCTGAAAAATGCCAAAAAAAAATGCATTTTATGAAATGACATGCATTATTTTCCACAGAAACAAAGAAAATTTTTAATGAAGAAGACGAAATAAATTATAAATCGGTACCAAAACAATTTTTAGTATTTATGATACAAAAATATTTTCCAGATTTCTAATAACTTGAGAATTTCTTTGTGCATCAGTTTAGTAAAAATTGTTTATATATAAATCACTGTTTTGACTAAAAGGGCAAACTTATACTAATAAACTATTGATGCTTTAAAAAATATGCTTTTATATTCCTCTCAAATAGACTTATTTAACAATAAAAATTGTAATAAGTAAATAGTTTATCGTAATAGATTTATTTAACATAAAAAATTTAAAATTTTTTAATTTAACAATGAAAGATCAACATAAAAAAATGTATTAGGATTTTTAAAAGTTTTTAAGCAGTATATATTTTTTATTTTCCTCCAAGAAATAAGTGCAGTTCCCATTTCAAACCAATTTATCGTTTCTTTATTATATAGCTGCATTAAACTTTTAGAGTGAGAGAATCATACAAATTTTTTTTTAATTTATTGAGCTTATATTTAATATTATACATATAAATCATGTTTTGAAATGCTCTAGGAATTGGGCTTATCTAAAGGAGTTGAAAACACACTCTTCTCTTGAAAATTTCTCTTTATATACGATTATCGTAGCTTTAGTTCTTATTCATAGATGGCAGCACCAACGCTAAATCTCGATGTTTATTTCGATGAGAAAGTTCATTTGAACGTTCATAGGTTAAAAGAATTCTGAAAACCGAAGATGTAGCCTTATGCTTAGAGAGTTTTCATGCTCCCTAAAAGTTTTTCTATCTAATATCCAATAGATTATTCTTAAGGCTCTAATGTGTGAAATAAATGTAATGTCTAGAAAAGGGCTCTTCACAGGGGTGTTTTCGAAGTTTCAGGTAGAGGGAACTATATCAAGCTTTTATTTACATATTTAGTTTATTATTTTACCTTTTATATATCTATTTATTTTCAGGATTTTATTTTAATTTATGAATATAAAAAATTACTTTTATTCAAGTTTTGGTATTTAGCAACATTTTCTAAACTTTTTCTTGTTTAATTTTTTTTTTTTTTTTTTTTTTTTTTTTTTTTTTTTTTTTTTTAAGTACGTGTATTTTTTAAATTTTGGAAAGGAAGAGGGTGATAGTCTAACAATGGGGAAAGGGGTGCATGGAGCAAAAATGTCAGGGTGTATTATTATGGCAAAAAGCACACTAGGCTATCTGCTAAGGGGAGGGATGCCTTTCGTGGAGGACTTTCTAAGGGAACTGGCTCGTATATCGTTACACATGGGAAAACACGAAAACACCCATGCAGCCACCCGTTCGCGGATTCGAACCTCGGACCGAACTACCAGTGTTCAGCCACTTTACCGCTCGGCCGCTGGTGGGCGCAAAAATGTCAGAACCCCTAGTCTATAAAATCTGAAAGAAGGAATATTTTTTTTTTTTTTTTTTTTTTTCATAAAAAGTTTTGCATAACTTACATCAGTAGTCTCAAACTGGCAACACGTTGTCTCCGAAGTCATTTTATACAGCTCACGAAGACATTTTAGTCATGTCTTTCTTGCAAATAACGGTGTTTAAAAAATTTTAGTATTAGTTATTATACGTTCCAGTTCATATTATTTTCATTTCTATTAAAAAAGGATGTGAAAAGTACCTGGAGAACTTATAAACGAATCGATTAATTTATATTGTGATAAAAATATTATTGAAAGATTTGAAGATACAGATTTTAATAACTTTTATTCAATTGTACTTGTCAAAGATAAATCAGCTGAGTTACGAATTATTGCCCTAAGAATAATTCTTTTGTTTGGAAATACATTTATGTGCGAAGGCTTTTTTTTTTTTCGTAATACAAGACTGATAAGAAAAGAACGTGGATGATCGATGGAATTCTACAATGCGTGATAAGGGCAGTTTCTAGTAATTTCTGTCAAAGTCAATAATTATTCTCGGAATCGGAACGGCATAATGTGTCAAGCTGTAGTGAGAAATAAAGTAGTTTATAATGATTTATGCGTCCAAAGGAAAATTTGATGTATAAGAGGAAGTAACGACGTTGTCATTATTTATTATCAAGTTTTGTCCCACTTGAAAAAAATTCTTTGAAAACTTAAAAAATTTTCATAAGTTTACTTTTAGTTTAAATTAAAGTAAATTATTCAGTCATTAATTAATGATGTTAGAATTATTAAAAATGTTCAGTCTGAAAATTAAATATTTAGTTATCAATATACTTGAATCACTAAATGTAACCAACAAAAATGTTTCGCAAATGCCAACCGTTTCGTTTCAGATAGAAAATAAATATAAATTTTAATTTTTCCCCATTATGTATTATTATTATTATTGTTTATGTTACGTTTTGACAAAAATATTTAGTAAACGAAATTTAAATTGCATTAAAATATTTTTTATTTTATAAAGAAAAAGGAAAAGAAAGGTCTGGCCCGTCATTTTTTTGGTAGCATTGCAGCGAGTTTAATTGCTAAACCTTGGTACGAAGTTAAGAACTTCACGCTAAAAACTTGGTACTTGCGAAAAGTAAGTCTTCTGTCAAAAATACGGAGATAAGGTAACAGCATAAGAGCCTTAGCAAATTTTTTTTTCTTTTGCTTATGAAGAGAAAGAAATAGAATTCTTATGACTTTGAAACATAAGCAAAAAAGCAGAAAGTTTGGTTTATTAGATTACGGCAAAGCATTCGAGGGCTATCTTACCTTAAGGGAGGGATGCCTTCGCGGAGGACTTTTTAAGGTAAACTGGCTCGTATACACGTTACACGTGGGGAAAACCACGAAAACACCCATGCAGCCAGCCCGTTCGCAGGATTCGAACCTCGGACCGAACTACCTGTGTTCAGTGACGTTACCGCTCGGCCGCTGGTGGGCCTAAAAGCAGAGAAGGAAAATAAGAATAATGAAGGTGTAGGATTTTATCAAACCAAGAGAATCTCGAAGCAGTTGCTTAGGCGATATAGAGTAGTAAAGCATTAAAAAAGAGTATGAAGATTATAAACAAAGTGTTAACTTGAGCCAGTTGAATAGAAGAGAAGCTGCTGGGTTGTTCGATGGATATACTGTGCTCAGGTAAAATGACATTATAATTAAAGGCAATTTTGCATATTGTTGGTTGGAATGGCAACAAGTCAGAAAGGGAATATAACAGATTACTCTGCAAGAAGAAATTTTAAAATTTATGCAATTATTCTTGTTATCTTAATTTAATTCTATTTTAAGAAATACACTGTGCCCTTTTTATTCAGAATTACTGAAGAGTTTTTTTTTTTTTTTTTTTTTTTTTTTTTTTTGCCTGGCATTTATTGCAGTTTAAAAGGATTATTTTCAAATTAATTCCGCGTGCAGGATTGACTTCCAGTTAAGAGATATATTTATTTGAGAACCCTATTTTTATTATTCTTTCTCTTTGTTTCGCCCATTATAATTTCATTGCTTGAAAACCCCGAAAAAATGGTGAAACTAAGCAAAAATTTTAAAATGTTCACTTATTTTTTTATGATTTTTCATATTTTAATTACCCACCAATGTCGTGTGGATAAAATTTATGACAACCAGCAATTCGAGCGGATTCAATCGGGCTGGCTGTACGGTTGTTTTCGTGGCGTTACATGTACTAACCAAGTTCCCAAAGAAAGACTTTCACTACGACACACTTTCCTTTCGGCGCATGCCTGTTAATGTGCTTTGCCGCATTGCATCAGTCAAACAAACATATTTTAATGAAATGCAACAATTAATCTACACGCGCATTTTCGTTTGATTTCCCTGATTTGAATAAGAAATAGAATTCTGAGTTTGCATTATACGTACTTTTTGGATTTTTCGAGGAGAATTTTCAGCAACAAAGTATGCCACTAGCATACCTATGCAATAAGGGCCCATGTGAGTATAGGATTGCACATAAAGATTTTTCCACATGTGTTTAGATACTCTGTAAAAAGATAAATAAATAAAAATTTAAATAAATAAAATAGAAACATCATAAATGCAGTATTTCAAGAATGAGTAAGAATTATCGTATAATATTTAGGTAGTCAAGACAGCGCTAGAGCAAACCTTGGATATAACGAACCGAAACGTTTGATCCCTCCCAATTCTCTAGTTATGTTGTACGTCTATAGCGAATATTCAAACGAAAAAATATCGGATATACCATTACATTTATTGATATCTTCAAATGAAACTTTCCTTCTATTTTTTCATAATTTTTTCCAGAAATTCTAGAAGTTTAAACTGTAAAATTACTAAACCTTGGACATCCGTATTTACGTTGTTAGGTTAGCGAAACGTAATTCTTTTATTGCTTTACAATTACCGTTTTCTGTGTTCTAAACCAAGACTCTACGAGGCAGCTCTAATACCAATGGATTGTGCGACCAATGCTTGCGACAGTAAAAGATGGGTAGGCATTGGTGGGTATACTTATCTAATATATACTTTTGGTATTGCCAATTGCAATAAAAATTGTGGACAATTAAAATGGTATAGCAGCTCTATATAAAAATTTTCAACTTCTACGGCTAATTGTTTTTGAGTTATGCGAGATATATTTGTACGTACTTGCATGGCATGTTTTTGGAAAAAGAGTCTTTTATTCTGTCAGTACGTACAGACGACATACAAAAAATAGTCAAAATGGATTCGAGAGTGGTCAAAATGGATATTTCCGTTGAAATAGGATGCCTGAATTTTTTCGCGATTACAATTTTTCTTTACTTTGTACAAGGAAGTAAAAATAAGTGAAAGTAATGATTTTGATTTCATTTAATTTAGTAAAACAGAGAAAATGTTTACACAAATCTGCAATAGCTCAAAATGGTTCAAATTTGATCTTGTTGTATTATTAAATATTAAAAACGATTAAGTAGTTATTTGAGTAATGACAGGGCATCTTGATTTGGCGGCAATACATTCCTGCATTTTGCAAAACAATATTCTTAGCAAATTCATCCAAACGTTACATTATTTAAATTAATAAAAGCGTCTTTAGAACCTTATAACATAATTGTAACTATAATCCTTGATTCTCAACTATGAAATGATTATTTCGTGGGGCATATACTAATTTAGTCGTAGAATTCACATTTTAAAATCCTGTAGTAAACTGAGATGAATTGTAGTAGTAGACATCCCTTTTTTTTCAGTTGCCAGTCACGTTTCTTAAAAGTTTTCTTTCTGCGATTAATTTACAGTAGTAGGACAATAGACTAAATTTCTAGAACATTTTCATTCCTTTCCAGATTGTTTTTAGAACTATGAACTATATTGTGCTTGGGACTAACATTATTTTTTTTTAAAAATAGCTGAAACACACAGAATGCATTTTGACATCAGGTAATGTACTAAAGGACTTTGAGCTAAGGTGTTGTTACAGTAAAGGTTTGGTTTTCTTCATTAGATTAGGGCAAAGCACTCGAGGGCTATCTGCCTTAAGGAACGGATGCCTGCGTGGAGGACATTTTAAAGGAAACTGGCTCATATACACGTTACACATGGGGAAAATCACGAAAACACCCATGCAGCCAGCCCATTCGTTGGATTCGAACCTCGGACCGAACTACCAGTGTTCAGCAATGTTCAGCTCCGTACAATAAGAGAGAGAAGCCATATCCAACTATCCAGGCAGGGTGCAAATAGACGTTTTCAACTTCATATGCGCTTCGTGACTCGGCGGGGAGAAAATATGTAAATAAAAATTCAGATTCTAAATCGGTTGCTAAATTGCTCGGAACTGGAGCATCAAAATTTCAAACTACTTCCTAACAACTTTTACTAGAAAATTGTTTCCCTTTGCTAATAAAATTATTGTAGACAATCCCGCAGCGTAACTGATATTTTAGTAGACAAAACTTGCTATTAGCAGGCAAGACTAGATATTGTTCTTAAATTTCCAAAGATCTGATTAGAAAAGAAACCAGCCAATAGAAATTTAAAATTAAGCATAAAGGAATTTTAATTTCCTTTGTGTTTGGAGTAAAATTCTGTCAGTTTCGAGAGCAATCACTCATAGTTTTCTTTTCGTCAGAAGCAGAAAATGATTCTTGTGAAAATGAAAACATATTTAAATGTCTTGCAGACTCTTACAATATAAATAACTGCACAAAAAATTTATGTAATTGCTTTTATCCATTTTTATGATTCCAACGCTCAGGTTGTTATACTTTATTTACACCCTAGAAGGGAGTGGAAGGGCTACAATTATCTTTCCTGGGGTACAAAACGGAAGATCGCGAAGTCCTCTTTATTTTTACTAACCAAACTATATATAATATATATATATATATATATAGTTTTCAAACATAATTGCACCAAAAAGATGAACTCTAGTTTTGTAGGAAAGCTTAAAGAGCAGTACATCCATATTTTATGAAAGGAACTCATTACAAAGGTTACAATGGCTTGCATATTTATTGTAATAATATAATATATTCAACGCACGGAAAGGATATCATAGGCAATTGTTATCAGTTGGATTTCCATGTTCCAATTGGCAGAGCATCAGGATATCATGTACAAGGACTGCTGAAGAAACTTTCGTGAATGTAAAGACCGTTCGCTTATCTCAGAACTGGCTGATCATTTTCATGTGAAATTAAAATTAAACAAAAGCTGAAAGTGTCCAATTATTAAAGTTGCCATATATCTGTTACATCTAATAAAGCATTTGAGATTTGAAGTTTAAACTTTTCTGTTGAAAAAAGCTTCAGATTGTTTACATTTCAGGATTTTGCGTCCAGATAATTTTTTTTTCTCATGAATAATAATGGTTTTTAAAAAATGTGTGAATATACATTGACACCAACTTCATAAAATTTATATTCGAAAGCAGCAAATGATAGAGACATAGGTTTCAAATGCCAAGTTAAAATATTCCGGTACTTTTAATTTTAGAGAAAATTATCTAATTTAAGAAATGAAATAAATTAAGAAAATGTTCCCATTTAAAACATAAAATAAAATTATTTATAAATTTAGAACGAAGATGTATCCAGATTTTTATACAAAGAAAGAATTTTATATACTTTCCTTCTTATTTCCTGTTTACTAATTCAAATGACGTATGGAGTATACTTAACTGAGCTTTGTAGAAAAGGAATCAAACAATAAAATATTATAATACGTGTTTGTTTTTCCTTTCTATACATAAATTTTCTATAAAATGTTACAAAAGTGCTTGTAAAAAATTTAATAATAACACAAACATGAGTCTAAATTTCATAATTTGAATTTGTAAGTGAAAATCAAATAAACAAAAAGTATAATACCTGTAATCGTAAAAGTATATGGCGAATGTGGCTGGGTAATCAAATATAGCAGTTACAGATGCTACAGCTACTATGGTAAGAAGGATAAGAAATACATTAGATAAAATTCCTAGCACCGGCCACCTGTAAATAAAATAATCTATTTTATAATTCATGCAGTTATAAATATTCCATTTCATATCAAAATAAAACAAATTTTGACACGAAATCTCTTCGAAATTTACGATTATTTTCATAGGAAATTTTTATTTTTCCCTGAGGTTTTTTAAGGGCACATTTTTTTAATATGTAAAGTATTTGAAAATTGAAGAAAAATGATTTAAAGAGTAATAGAATACACATAAATAAGAACTTTTTATTATAGAATGCATGGTCGCACTTTACGTAACCAGGCGCTGAAGAACACTTCCTGTTTTTATCGCACAGACCATCTTTCGCATTGCAGAGACAAGGGGAAATTTCAGGTTAATGCATAGTAGTTTACGCATATATCATGAATATTCTTTTTTTATTCATTCAATTGTTTTTTGCATTTTACATTTTTTTCACCAGGTTGCTATATAACTTCACTTCTCATTTGAGGATATACTGTATTTAATTTACTCTGAATTAGTCTTAAAATTTCTAAGTGTCATTTTGGTTGAGGAACAAAAATTTGCTTGGCGAATCAGACAAGATTACTGGCTTCTTTACACTCCTCGAGCAACTACACTGGTGTGCAAAAATTGAGGACGAAGTCGAAAAATTAGCATATCAGCTGAACGAAGAGGCAGAGCGAACAGAAAGACCAATCTGGAGATTAAGTAAGGTGATGTACGGTAGCACATGCGCAGATATGCAGGTAGACGTAATAGGGGCTTGTCTGAGTAGTATAAAGCATGTTGTCGGTGTAAGATCAGTATTTCTGGCAAAGAGATTTCACGCCGTATAGAGTTAAAATCACACCGAGTTGCTGCCTCAGCGAGAAATGGCGAATGATCAATCTGTTAGACGACATCTGGATGCTTTTACCCGAGGTCGAATCATTGGGAAGTTGGAGGAAGGCCGCAGTGTGACAAGTGTGGCTGCAGAGTTCGGAATTGCTTCACAGCATCGTTTCACGACTTTGGAGACAATTTCAAACTACAGAAACAGCTATCCGAGGGTTTAGTAGTGGTCGTCCACGAGGAACCACACCCGCAGATGACCGGTATATTGCCTTACAGGCCAGAAGAAACAGGCGGCAGACAGCGGGAGAAATCGCTAGACACACGAAACAGGCGACTGGACGACCGATATCGCGTTTTACCGTGGCCAGAAGACGGCACGGTGGTGGTCTGTTTGCATGACGCCCTGTACGTGTGTACCTCTAACGCCTGCCCATCGGAGAGGGCGTTCTCTGTGGTGCCGGGAACACCGGAATTGGAGAGACAATGAATGGGGACGAGTACTCTTTACAGATGAGAGCAGATTCAGTCTGAGTAGCGATTCTCATCGCATACTCATCTGGAGAGAGCGGGGAAGCCGCAATCATCCCTCGAACATCATTGAAAGGGACAGGTATTGAGGCGGCGGTGTTCTCGTTTGGGGAGGCATCATGCTTGGTAGTTGTATACACTTTCACATCTTCGACGCAGGTTCAGTCAACGGAACCCGTTATTGTAACGAGATTCTTCTTCCATATGTGCGTCTTTTAAGAGGCGCTATGGGTCCGCAGTTCCTTTTCATGGACGACAATGCACCATGTCATCGCACAGTAGCTGCCGAACAGCTCTTAGAGAGTGAGGATATTGAACGTATGGATTGGCCGGCACGATCTCCGGATCTCAATCCCTTCGAGCGTGTATGGGAGTTTTTAGGCAGACGCTTGGCAGCTCGTACCTTACCACCAGTAACGATTCTGGAGCTTCGATTGGCGCTGCAAGACGAATGGGCAGCAATGCGTCAACAACTCATTGACACCCTCTTCTCAGCATGGGCAGACGCTGTGAAACCTGCCTAGCAGTCAGGGAAGATCATATCCCCTATTAAAGACCGGATGTTTCTTGCTGGACATCCATCACAGGGATGTTTCGGCCTTCAGTCGCATTGCGCTCCATGCTACTTTTTCAATAAAGCTTCTTTTTCTCCCTCTGATTTCTCTTTCAGTAAGTGTTGCTTACATTACTCATGTCCTTACGTATTGGGGATCTTACGGTATTAAATGTGTTGATTTGGAAAGCTTTTGTACAAAGTTATATTGAAAAAACCGTCTCGTCCTTAATTTTTGCACACCAGTGTACTTTGGGGAACCTTCAGACCAGGCTTGGTTAAATAATGTCTTGTCAATGAACTTTACTTTCATTAAGCCAAACTTTAATCGCAAATTGCCTCAACATTCACGGATAAATCTAAGACTTTATGAGGCATGTATTTCATTAGCAACCTGTATGGGTTGGTATATGAACAAGGAAAAGGTAAATATCGTAATTTGTCTTTAACGTGCAAAATGTAGCTTGTGGGAAGGAAAGAAAAGAATCATCTAGCGCCTAACCGCATAAGGTGCGACCCTGTTTTCTGGAAAGTTGTTTGTTTCACTTAACAAAGTATTACGTTTTACAGTTATGTTCATTTAATGATTAGCAGTATCCAGTATGGCATAGTTTGGTAAATAAAACTAATTATCAACTCGCTGTACATAGGTATGTAAGTATAAATATGTAGCAAAAATACCAAATAAAAGGTTTCACTAACCTATTCATCAACCAAACAACAACTGTGGTTGCCACAAAAATTTGCATCATTGCTGCCAGTACCCAAGTATGGTAAAGACACTGTAATGAAATTACATAAAGTCATATAATTTTAGTATATTTAATCAAACTACTTTACAAGTGTCTTGCAAAAATATTATTTTAAAAGGACGTTTTAATTGAAATAAATTAAGAAACTTTATTGTTCAATATTCTTCAGAATTTCATTGCACAGGCTAAAACAAATTACATAAATGGATAGAAACTCCTTGTTATAGTAAAATATGACAATTAGAAATATTTAAACTTTATTTTCGAATTGATTGGTTTCACAGTTCTTTGCTAACTTACGCTATCATAAGGGCCAAGAAAATTCTGTATGAAAAGCAAATTCATCCACCATTTCTCACTGCAATTATTTAATGGTTCTTCAACAAATTCTTGCCAAAGAGGTCCTGATCCAAGGATTGGAGTAAGGAAGAATAAACAAATGACTAATACTTGTAATGCGACCATTCTGAAAAGTACAAAAGCAAAATGCGTGTAAATTTAACTAAGCAAAGATGCATATGTAAAATAATAACTGGTTTTAATTCTGTATACCTAGGTAATAATTAGATTGGTTCTTAGAAATTATCACATTCTCCTCGTGTGAATACTCGCTTGTGTTAAGTCATTATCATGTACAGTTACAATTGGAAGATCCATGGTACGAATCCCGGAAAGAACACAAATTAATTTTTGTGTTTCCTAGTCCAAAATATTTAGTGTTCTTTACACAAACTAACTAATCTTTTCTCTCAAGAAAGCAAAGCTCCATGGGAGTCTGAGGTCCCTGTAAAAGGTGGCCTAGGGAATCGTAGAATTTTAAACTAGATTAATGAGGCTCTGCTCGAAGTATAAAATTTTTAATCATTTTTTAATTTGGTGAAGAAGCATACAAATCGGATTTACAGTGCAGTTCGGTTATATGTTTAAAACACACTCTAGTAAAATATACAAGTGGGTAGAAATAGATCTTGGCTGTCTTAAAAACATATGTTTTATAGTTACCGGGTTATTAGCAGTGTCTCGGAATCAAAAGGGAAAGAAAAAATTCTGAATTTGAGACAGAAATACTATGAAACTATTATGTATGAAAATAAAGTTTAGAAAACCTTCCCTTTCCTAATCCGATACTTTTGCCATTGTTTAACAATAAATCTAATTACACTAATTTAGATTTGTGTTATAATTTGAGGCATACCCAATCGACAGCCTCTGTTTGAAAGCGCATCATTTGTCAGTCCTTTTTAAGTCTAGAAAAATGTATAAATATGTTTACTAAATCTAAATATAAAATTTCTCTTCATATACGTGTTATGATGCAAAGGCACGTTATGATGCAAAGTGTAAATAAAATATGATCATTAAGAAAAGCCACGAATTTAATTTTTAAATCATATGTTAAGTAAAAAGGTCTACTGGATACCAAAACGGAAGCTTGTGAAATATTTATTACTTTTTCTCTTTGAATAAAAAATTTAGCACAGCGGTTCCCGACCTTTTCTGTTACGCGTATCCCTTCAAACTAGAATCTCTTTCAGTATTCCTGCAATATATCTTACTACTGTATTATTTTAGTATATATACTGTATAGATTCTATTAGAAAAATATAATGAAACAAAGACTTTACATTATTTATTTTAAATAAATAGATTTATAACACATATTTTAAACGAAAACATAGCGTTAATCATTCACAACAATATTCTCAATATCAGTTTTCCTGAAATGACAGAACAAATGAGTTTATAGACTATTGATGAGATCTAGACCTACTCTCAAATGCTAAACGTAATTGAAGTAGTATTATACGACAGTAAAACACTAAATCTATAATTATTTAAAAATAAATTAACATATAACTAGGCACATACTAAATTAAAAACAAAAATTAAGATTCGATTTCGAAAGATTTAATGCACTGGTAGACTCATTGACACTGTAGAGACATTAGGACATTTCGAAGCAGGATAGAAGAAAAATGAGGAACGCCTTCGCCAGGAAAGGAACCGCGGACCTCTGGAATACGCGTTCAGAGTGCAGAACACCACACCATGCGACTTCACAGAAAGGCAAATACATTCCAGAGGCAGGCCATCTGGGACTGGGGAGCTGCTAGTTTTAAGGTACTGGAGGGCGTGAGACATCTGTCACCTGCCTATTAAAAAGGACATCATGCATATCTTTTATTGTTATTCCAAGAAATCGTATTGTTTGAGAAGAGATTGTTTTTTAATTTTTCGAATATAATGTTTTCCAAACTTGCACTGAGTAGCATCAAATTTTCTGCAACTATACGGTTTTACCACTTTTAATGATATGATAATTTATTTTGAGGGATACTTTAATACTTCAATCGCATTTTTGTCATCTGCGTTAAATGATTACAGGCAAGATTTCACATTATGGCTTTTACATACTTTAGAAAAACTTTGATTAATTTTTATTTACAATTGAGATATTTGGTTTTAAAATAAGACAATACCAACGAAGATGTCACACTTCTATTAGATAAATCTACCGTATTTGTTACAAATTACAAAGGGAATTCGGGCTATCGTGGTTTTTTTTTTAATAAAAATCCATATACACATTTATAGAAAATATTCCTCTCTTCTAAGATGGACGGTTTTGGGATAATTTCTTACCTTTCTTTAAGCTTATCTCTTACCAGAATAACTTCTTCCCGATCCACCTTATTGTTTGAAAATGCTTAATGCAAGCGCCATACCAGAGTCATGTAAGTATGTTTATCATGGCAGCCATAGTTTATTTAAATAAATGGGTAAACGATTGCGAATCAACTTTTCAATTGTTTACCCGTTTTATTTAAATAAACCTTATATTTAGCAATTGTGAACAACAACTAACGTAAACGAAACTCCCCACTCAAACAAATTTGATTGTGATATAACTCTATACAAAGACAGCTACACAACTCATTTTTGATGATTTACTCGCTATTGAAAGCATTATTGACTACCGATCGTTTTATATGACCCGCTAATTGGGAAAGAGGTGCTTATGTGATGAGTAAGTAATCGAACACTATAAATGGTGTCGGCGGAATCAGTTACAATTAATAACATTGCTTTCGCAAATATTTTGGTCAATGACGGCTGCATTGGAGTTCTTCACAATTATTTACCTTTTATTTAAAGAAACATTTAAACTTTCTGTATATTTTTATCAGTATTCATTATAATATTATGTTGTTTCCAGCTATTGTAATATTTTTCGCGTACTATTAAATGTGTACTGCCAAGCAGAATACACTTGTTTTTATCTACCAATATGCAAAAAATAATCCCAACGGACTTTATACGAATTCTGTTGTAGTTTTTAAAATTCATGTGGCGTTTTACTTTAGATATAAAAGAACACCATGCACCAATATTTTATTACCATCATAAAAATACATACTTTCTGAGTTTCATGGTGTGATGATATGAATTTTGTTAACCATTTTAATATTTAAATGGTTTTTCAAAAATGATTTTTTTGTAATTCGTTTCTTAAATATTCTAGCTGTAAACGAGACTTTTAACATTAATATGAAAGCAACTTTTCGTAGAAAATGAACCAAGAACATGAGATGTCTTAACAACAAAGGTACAATCGGTGTTTAAAGAACTTTTCATTTGTCCACCATCATTGTCAACATGTTATTAGAATATTTTTCTCTTGAAATTAGGCGAAATTATTTGAAGTTCTGAAGACGAAGAATTTATATCTGATCGCCCTTGAAATCGATACAATTTTATTCAAAACTTTCAATATTAAATTTTAAATTAGGATGCTTCTTTCTTAATTGGCTTTACCAGTTGGTCACGAAATCCCCAACGTACATTTCTCTGGGCTCCATTTCCTTCAGCTAAGTTTTTTAGCAACGTTTGGCGCATTGTAAACCATTGAAAAGGATATTTATAAAAAATATTATTTTCAATAGCAGCTTGATGGATCATAAATAATGGTAGACTAAATATCTGCAGAATGCGCTGATCGTCCTAAACATTCATCTTTTCTAATGCATCTTCGACTGAATTTTCTGTTAAGGAAACGATTTAGAAAGTGACTGAAGTTTCTAAGTTTCTATTAAGGGATTAACACAGAGATATAAAGCATCACCAATATAGAATGGTTCCATACGCTCGATTAATAAATAATACAAATAAAAATTATACATCTATATGTTATATTTTTGGAAACACCCTGTTTTGCCATTTCTTATTTGCTTGAAAATTTTGTTAATAATACTAACTTATTTGTAACTGTATTCATTGTATACATTAGTGCACAAGAAAAAATAATAATTACCTAATATAATTTAGAAATATAAATTTCAGAATATACAAAATAACTCCAGGCCTCTTCAGCTGCCTCCATCGATTGTAAATGCAAATGAAACCACTGAAAAGTAAAAAAATACTTAATGACTTTGTGAGTTGTCAAGGTTACGGTGGGGTTATTGTAATGACGAAATAAATTCAAAATTCGTGCATCATATTGGGATCGATGAGCACATAAATACTTAATGGCTTACGCTAAGAAAAATATTGTATCCACTCCAACAGATGCATTGGCGATTGTTTCAAACAATATATCGTTCATAAATTTCGATAGGTTCAGCGTGTCTCCTGCAAAAAAGACAAAAATGTGTAATTAACATAATAATAAGAACGGTAGGTAGTTTCTATTTCTCTACGTATTTACAAGTATGAAAATGGATTTCTGAAGTGAATTAGCAAAGCAACAACATTGTGTCTGGCATAGATTTAGTCAAGATCTCAATCGATCAAGCGATTTCGAGGCAAACAGGTACAAATCCCTCTTCATCAGGAGAAAAGAAACGGACAATCTTTCAGATTAGCGATCTGTGCCCGTAGCGATTTCCGATTCTTTTGCTCCTGAAGAAGAGATACCTATTTACCCTCTTGAGATCTTGACTAAATCTACGCCAAACAGAAAGGTGGTGCTTTGCTAATTTTATATTTCACTTTGGCGTGTTTATCTTCTGTGTTGAGGACAAATTATTCAGCTTCTACACGAAAGAAAGTTATAACAAAAAGGTAATTCCTAGGATTGCAAAAGAGAAACACGAACAGTAGATTAAGATTTAAATATTCGCAGCAAATTTAAATTTAATTATCTTATTCTGATTTAGTAATTCTACAAGGCTCTTATCAAAACAAGCTAAATGCTTGTGTTCTAGAACTAAGAAAAATTTTAAATTCTTATTTTTATACAAAATATTGATAGGTGAATGTAAATTGAGAATTATTTGCCCAACTTAAAACCCTATTAAAATATTAGACTCCAAATTAAAATTTATAACATGCTGGATACAGATGTAACAAAGCTAAATTATTATTGTTAATTACTATTATTATTATTTAAACGTGCATTAATCACTTCATAAAAAGAATATTAAAATAAAGATGAAGATTAGAAAACTCACTGCATCTGCACACACATATATAGACAAAGGATTGTTTGGATGTGAATGCCTTCAAAAACTATTTAATGTATAACTTTTGCCATATTAATATTTATCAATATAATGAGAAGTATTAAGTAAATCTTGCTTGTTAAATATGTTTTCCTCAAGCCTTAATTTTTTTTCAGTTGTTAAGAAGTATATTTCATTCATTGTCTCACTAAATTGGACAACGAATAGACATCATTACGACATCAGAACAACCGCATTAAAGTTATTCACCTAAACAACATCAAAATAATAACATTAGAATTTATTTAAAGGAGAAAGTATTTTGGTAAAAATATTTCCAACAAAATAAAATTTAAAATTAATTAAATACGTTCACAGTTTATTTTCAAAACAAATTTTATGTGCAAACAAAGTTTATGTGCAAATTAATTTTAACTAACGTTTTAATAACACATTATCCATATAATGGCTCCTAATTTTAAAGTAAATTCATAATAATACCCAATTAGTATAATGTCACTTAACTTTTAATGCTATGGAACACAAACTTACAGCTTTTATAGGTCAAAAAGATAATATGCATTTGTACTTTTATTATTAATTTCTCAAAAGGTATTTTACCTAATTGTGTCTTGTGTGTGTCTTTCTTGTAGACAAGTTTCATTTTTAGTCCCATTTTATAAGATAAAAATATTTCATAAATGCTTCCTTCTATTTTGATATCAGTTGGCTTAAGGACAACGAAGAATTGCAATTGTCAAAAAATTGCAATTTATCTATGATTATAATGCAGTAAGATTAACGTATTTATATTATAATAAGACTGACAGAATTTATTGAAAGACAAAGCAATGCCTTTTATAACGAAATTACTTGGAAGTAATAAATAAATATTATTTTTGAGAAAGAAATTTTATAAAATGCAAACAAGAAAACATAGTATAATTTAAAAAATTATAGCTTGTTAATTTTGCATAAAACAAATGAAACTGCTTTCTGTTATTGCCAATAAGGATTTTAACTGTTACAGTTAAAAGACAGAATCTTTCTTTTACACCTTCAGGGATCATATATCTCCCAGAAAATTCATAATCCATTAAGGAAGTATATCCCACCACCTGGGGATATAAAATATAAACTTTGTGAGCAGTAACTAACATACTTTGATAAAGATGACAATGCAACATTTCTTATTTTCATTTATTATTAATAAAGCAAGCATTGACAAAAAGTAATTTGCATAGATCAATATAAACAAACAATAAAGTAAATTAGATAGCGTGCAATAGGCCACAAACCAAATGCGCATTTTCCGAGTTGCAATAAATTACTCTTATCTACAAGGGGGCAATATTTTTGCCAAATAATATTTTAAGCGGTCGGTCTCCAGTTGAAAGTGCATTATCATAAATAACGGTAGTATTCATTTTAAGTCTGAAAATGATCTTCTATCTCATTTTCTATTCATTAAGCTGTCGATGTTTCCTAAAATAAGTTAATTTACCACCACATTTCTAACTTTCGTCATTTATATAAAGCATTTTAAAGTGCATCGTTTAAAAAGACAAAGGAAATGTGACATGTTTTGAAGCGGCACGTAGATTTGTCAAAGAATTTAATTAAGTCGTCTGAGACAACAATATCTAGAGTCAGAAAATTTCACGAGATGAGTTAGGACTTCCATCAACTCATAATTATCTTGTTAACATAAGGTAATCCTTGCAATATAAGTAAATTCTTCCTTTAAAGGTAACTCTTATATCAAGGCCAATTTTGTAATGCTTTTACATTGTAATTGGTCTTAGTAATGCATGTATCAAGGAATTTATTGTTAATAAAGCTGTACTCAAAGAGGGTAACGATTTCTATGCCAAATTTCACAGATTTATTTCCTTAACTACATCCTAGTAAAATACAGGTGACAGGTGAATGCAGGGCCCGGACACCCGGACGGCTTAATATGACAAATCGGGTGTCGTCCGGTACCCGCACCTATTTAGAACAACACAACCCTGGCGACTTCCTGAAAAAATACACTTCAAAAGTTATGAAGCAAAGTATTTATTAACATCTTAACTGTTTTGTTCTGAAATTTTTTCTATGTGATACAGTAGCAATGCAGCCATAATTTGTCTTTGAGAACATGGACATTAATTAGCGGGTGACATAATCACATTAATAACGAATAATTAAATGATAAAATTATAAAGAAGCATATAATATAGTTTAAAAAGTAAAGGCAGAAGAGCTAAACACAAGTTTACGAATCCCATATAGAATATTTCCAGCTGGTGTTTTGTTCGTGAATAAAAAGGACATAGCACATAGGCAAGACCTATATAAATGCAAAAGGCATAAGGGCCTAGATTTTAGGACAGGGCTCAAAAATTTCTTACAATCGTGATTGCCACTGATGAAAGGAATAAAAGTTGGTGTTAAGGACCCCTGGAAAATGCTCTGCTTGAGGCCATAGAGAGTCTTATTTGGGCTCTGAACATAAATTTGTTTTAGGATTATATGAAATAGCGAACGTCAACATACATATTTATATTTCCAAATTTACATCCAAAAGAATATTTATAAGGTATTTTTCGAAAACACACAATAAAACATTTGGATTTATCGGGAAGATTAATAAAATTTAGTGCAGTTCTTCCAAAATAGTATTTCTCATTTTTTGTTCCAAATTTGTCCAAATTCATTGTAGCGTGAAAATATTTTTTTCTACAATTATAATTAGAAAGGGGATCTTATAAATTACTACCTCCTGCCCATGCCCATTTTATAATAAAATTTTATCTTGTCACAATTGTGATCAGTGGTTCTATACATTAGTGTTACTGCGGAACATTTTGCAATGTAGTGGCCTTAGAAATTATAGTTTCCTCACATTTCGTATAACTAAAGAGACTTAAAAAGTTCTTTTTGCAGATACAATGAAATTTGAGATGCTAAGCACTTTGTGGACACCTGCCCACTTATAAAAGATATATATAAAGTATTTTCTTCCTCCTTTTCGCATGCCTTGATGGCGTTAACAAGAAGTACGCTCGACTCGTTTTCGGGAGGTCTGGATTTCGAATCTCAGATTTCGATCACTGCCCATTTCTCAAGCTACTGCATCGATATAACCTAACGACCCTAGAGATATAACGAAAGCATTTTATCGTTAATAGAACTTTAACGTCGAATTGATTTTATCAAGTCAAAGGAAGAAATGTATTTAAGAATGATTATGAATTGTATGGATTATAATCTATCTACAGTGGGAATTTTAATTTAGTGTGTGTCCTTTGTTTGTACATATAACTGAGAAAGCCTAATATATGTAACTGGAAATTACTAATAATGCCAAAGGGCCACCTTTGGTCAGGTGGGCGGGCTGCTCCACATAGGCTAACAAACACGAATTTTTTCTTATATTATCCTCATAATATCCTAACAGAAAGCTGGGAAAGAGCATTTATGATGTTTTCTAGAACTCTAGATTAGGAAGATTATACAAAACTCCATATTATAAAATGAAAAAGCATAAATATTTTTCGCAATTTCGATTACTTCTTTTAATTTATGTCACTTTCTTCATTTAATTAATTATATCACACAAACATTTAATTATTATTTTGGTAAATACTAGAAAATATTTGGTAAATATTAGTGAAGTTCATTGTAAAATATTCTGATAAAATTACTCTTTTAACAATAGAAAAGAAATGTTGGAATAGTTTTTGCGAAGCTTGTTTTCGTTGTTAAAATTGTCAACATTGCTTTAGATTACTTAAATTATTAAGTCTTATAGCATGTTTTTAAAATTCAAATAGAGTTGTTTCATTTTAAGCGTTATTTTTAAAGAAAGGTTATACTTACGGAATCTATATAAATGCAATGGATGTGGCAAACCATATGTATGCATATATATCGCAAAGAAGACAGTTAGGACTTTCATTCCTCTGATGACATCAAACGCGTCACCGTCTACGTTACACTCCAGCAATTTTGGTATACTCTGGCACAGAGATAACCTCGAAAATAATCCAAAAGTCTTTGCACATTTTGCATTTTGGTCTAAAATGAATAAAAAGCTAGTATTATAAAGCTAGAATAAAATTAAATTCGTATTATAAAAATATCTTGGAATAAAACTAGTATTTTAAAGTTAAAATATTTTTAATTGATAAACAATTCGTAAAAGCAGTGAAAATATTTGGGAAACAGAGATAAAGAACTATCCGATGATTTAAAAAAAAATAAAATTCCGTAACAATACCGTGAGATTTATAAGCAAGAAAACATTCGAATGGTTTCCTCAAAATAATATAAATGCAATTTAATCAAATAGCGCAAATAATATTAAAATAGTGAGCTCTTTTTTCTAAATTGGTATTTGCAAATTAGCTTAAGAACGTTATATGCGTAAATTTTATGTGAACATTATAACTTCCGTATTAAATGGTACTAAAGAGTTTAACCATAATAGTTATCTTGATTATTTATATATCTCTGTCAAAATGTGCAGCTACCTGGCATTAAATTTGTTAAAACGTTTATCTTTCTGAAAAATTATGCTGTTGAAAAGATCTATCTAATAGTATATTTGTCATAAATTTCCGTACTATAGATTAGCTTATAGTAGGGTTGAAAGACATTTATAGAGTGTAATTATTTCATTCCCAGAATGCATTTCCTCGACGACAGCATTAACTAGTTTCATTAAATACAAATTTTAAGCAATTTTCAATCTTTCCTTTAATTAAGTTTTTTTAAATGTACACAGAATTTATGAAAGATAATATAATATTTCAAAAAAGTATACCGAATCTTACATACATCAATTACATTAAGGCGATATAGACCAATAGGCAATACAATATCATAGATCAATTACATCATATATACATTAAGGCGATATACACGAATGTTTTTCTCAAAATCGTTATTTTCTTAAAAAATTTGAAAAGTATTCATACTCTTTGAAATAAATTTTCTGAGATTTTTAAATTAAGGCTATAATCGTTTAATTTCATTAAAACAGTATTAAAATACGATATCTCGTACATCACGTTCTGAGAGGAAAATTTGGCTAGAACCAATTCCAAAAATAGTCAAATAATATTTTCAGCACAACACAAACATTCATCTTAACATTAATATCTTACTATTTATTTTTAACTTCCTTACAGAACCGAGTGAATAAATGCATTAGATAGTAGTTTTTGGTGTAAGTAAATAACTGTATGAAAGTTACATATTTTTTACGATAATTGCAGCCAATTCCTAGAAAATCTTCTATGGAATCCAAATTCAATTGAATCCAATAACACAAAAATTCCACATACGTTGCTGTCATATAACTTAATCTTTCCAAAGATTGGCTTTAAGCGAATACTTGAAATTGTTATTTCCAATGAAGGTGATGTGAAAGTTCCTAAATATCAGAGATTTGATAAAGCTCTTTGAAACTCGCTAAACTACACAGTAGAAATTATCAAATAAAATATTACACACAATATAATTTCTTTCTACTTCCTTATACAACATAAAGGTAGTATTATATTTGTGAAAAATTTCAGGTATAATATTTCAGCAGGAATGAGACCGGTCCCGAATCAATTTTGGACAATTTTTTTGTTTGACGTCTGTAAGTACACACAAAATAAAGGACTCGAGTTTCTGAAACGGATTGTAAAATGGATTCAAAAGGGATTTTTTCGTGATACATGTACATACGTATGTATCTCTCATAACTCAAAAAAATTAGGTAAGGTAGTGTAGGTTGAAATTTTGCTTATGGGACTGCTACAACACCTAGTTGTGCGCATCGGCAGTACCAAACCGTATGTATATATTTACGTATATTACGTTTACTTGCTTCTGTTTCATTTAGTCCTCCAAATAGGTGGAATTTGACTGTTTTCTAATTCTTGTAACACTCATTAAATCTTCTTCTTTTTCTGGCAATCTTTTTTGTACGTTTTTAGCTCAGTTTAATTTTAGGAAGAACTCGAGTCGGACGCAGGTATGTTTGCATTTTTTGTAAGTTTCATTTCTTCACAAATTACTCTGCCTTTTGGTCTTAACAGGACTTCTCTTTGTAAAGATTATTTCATTAGGGTAAAGTTTTTATTTTTAGCGCCAAGGGACCTGCCCTTAATTTGATATTTTGGAATTTCAGGATTTACACTGAAGAATTTGTTTGTACATTAGCCTTAAGAGGCCACTTTGTATAGGATGTTTCTTTCACGTTTTAAATATTTTTCGCTTTAAGAGTACAAGTACTATTTTAGAGTTTAAAATTTATTACTTTGATGTTTTAGAATTTATTACTTTGATATTTTAAGACACGCAAACACGTCGCGAAAAGGGACAAATCTACACGTATTCAGACGTTGTTAGTTTTAGATGAAAAAGTAAATAGATTACAATGAATGCCGTTTTCAGTCTCAATATATTTGTTTGCATGCTTTTGGTTTAATCAACTTGGTTGAAGGCTTCAAACACTTTTCCCTTGATAAGTTATGTTTGAAGCTTTGAACAAGGAGGATTGAACTTGTTTTTTATATGTACAATTTTTCCTATTTTATGTAGATTGGATAGGATATTTCGCGTAAATTTAATGATTTGGCTTTGGTTTATTGATTTGACATTATTTTACATTTGATAGGATTTTCAAATGTACTTTACAGCTTTTGCTAGGTTTTTAACCTCTCTTTTTTAAAAAAAGCAGCTCAATGCGCTATTTTGACCGACTAGGTCTCACGTATCTGTCACTTTTTTATACTGTTACTATATCGTGTATATATATATATATATCTACTCACACGCGCACACAAACCTCTTTCCTATTCGGCCTTTATTTTCGCAGTCTTCGGTGGTAGTCATATACTTACAATTACAAAAGTGTGTTAAATGATGAATATATTCCTGTTTTGGCAATGTAAAATTAAAAAAAAAATAATTTTTAAGAAATAACAAAATCTGAATTTTAATGCGATCTTCGGGTTTTTTTATTTGTTCTTAGGAAAGTTTTCTTTTTCTAATGAAAAAGTAAAATTATATGACGTTTGATTCCCATACGACAAAAAGTGAAAGGGATATTTTATTTTAAAATTTGCAATTTTGATGTCATTTTCAATTTGTCTTGAGGAGTCGATTAATTAAGTTAGAATAATTCGCGGAAATAAGTTTAAATGAATTGCAGCAAAATATGTGTATTATTTATATGTCGAACAATGAAGTCATGTGATGCCATCATCAGAATTTTTTAAAAAAGTGACCATTGCGAAGCACACGAAGTCTACCTACGTACATAAGAGGAAAATATTTTGATCAATGAGTTTATAAGCAAGATGGATCTAAATGATTTTTCGAAAATCTCAAAAAGCTAAAGGTATTTCTCCCGCCTTCATAGCATGCCTTAGTGGTCATCAAGCTCGGCGCGTATTCCAGAGGTCTGTGGTTCAAGTGTCGACGACGGCATTGCTCGTTTTTCTAATCTCTTCCTTAGAAATAACCTAATGTCTTTACAAAGCATCTGGAAGCCAACACACTCTCCGAAATTTGATTCCATGCCAGATCACCGGTGCTTACCTATTGTATTCAGTCTACCATTGGACAGGGCAAATGCAATCCGCACTTTTAATATCAAATAGAGTAGAAAATGAAAATGCATATGATTTGTAGATAGAAAAAGTTTTAAGCAAATTTTGTTTGTTTTACCTGGCTTGTCTGGGCTCATGCAGTCAAAACAAATATTGATTATCGTTGCTATCACTATGATTGCCAGAAAAAGTGCCAAAATGCTCCTGAAAATTTGAAAAAAAAATCATTGAAATTTTATTTTATTAAATTAGTTCTCACATTAGAAAATAATGCAAGAAAAATTGCTGTTTCATTCAAATGCTATTCAAATATTCATGTGGAATACGTTATTCTAAGAACTGATTTCAACTTCTTTCGTGCAATTTTTGAAGGCATTAATTTATGAAGTTATAAAAAATAGATCTCTTATTTCTAGAAATGCGGACTAAATCTCAGTAATTGTTAAAACGTTCGATGAAAGGTGTATATCTAGAGAATGCATATTATGATTGTTATTGACAGATTATGAGGAAAATAGAAACTTTAAACAGATATGACTGGGAAGCATTTTAACTGGGAAGCATTTTTTTATAACCTTAGAAGAATAGCTTGTAACTGTATATGAGTATTATGACTTCAAAGCCGATTGCTTGCTTTTTAAATTTTCTTGACGAAAACCGTTGCCTTGAGCCAGATTAAAAACTTAGCAGAATTTGTTGATAAGTTAAGCATTTTGAGCCAGTGTTAACGATTCTCAGTAAAACGTGTGGTCTTAGACGCAATTAAATAATATTTTATTTAGAAACAATTTACAAAAATATTGTCTTTGCATCCAGTTCAGGTGACTTATAAGTTTTGTGCAATAGTCATTTAGAGTAATCTTTGCAGTGGAATAGAATAAAATTAGCTGTGTCTATTATTAGCTGTGCTACCTGTGTCTTTTTGCATCGAGAATTTAGTTATTCTGATGGTGATAACTCATCCAAGGAATCAGTGTATCATCTAATTAAACTTTTAATTAAGCTAATTGGATTTATCTTAGGCGCCAGAGAGGTATTACACCATTTTTAGTCCAAAAAGGCAATTTGCTCATAAGGACATATACTTTTCGACATTTTGCATTGATTCACTTTTCAAAAAGTTGCCACCAAATATTATCGCCCTCCTATATTTAAAGAAATCAAATAATGAAGAATCTGTATAAATGTATGTATGTTGCTCGCATTGTGATAAAACAATGGTACCTAGCGTCAACAAATGTTGAATAAAGTAATCCTCCTGCGAATATGGGCATCTGGAACCCCAAATTTGAAATTTCGAATTTGTTTTATTAAATATTTCATATTTTGTAAAACTTTAACGAATTTTGGATTAACAAACTCAATAATTTAAAAGCGAGCAATAGCAACACTCTACGGGGGAAAAACGTTTTATCTCCAGCGCGCGGAACTGTGTATTGGAAATTCTAAAGATAGGCTCATTTTAAAGTTATTTTGCGACATTGCTGTTGAACTGAATTTTATGGTTCAAGTGCAAAGAACATATTTAATAAATAAAGGTAACACACGAAATGTGAAAAAAAAACGCCCCTTTGGACGTAATTAAACATCTGAAACCTTTCAGATTTTATATTTTTATATCTACTTTGGTTATATTAAACCTTACAATGTTTAAATATTTGTAAAATATATGGAATATTTGAATGTCAAATAGGAGAGCTCTGTTTAATTAAATTCTCCCATTAATAAATATGTACGTAAGAGTCTTAATACCATCGAGTTTTATTGAGGGTTCCCAGGAATTAATTGAATATGTTCCCGGTAGAATACCTGTCTCAAAACAAAGAGAAGATTCTGGGTTTTAGCCTATGCGCGGGATTTACAAGCATGTCAGGAATTTTAAATCTAATTGCATGTTATTTAATAGTGTAGTCTTTCATCTGAAAATCTGATTTCAGTGTTCGATTTTAATTAATTCGGAATCCTCATAAAGTCTTAACGGTTCTGCCAATAATGTAATCTTTTAAAAAGGTTACTTATATTCATAACATGAGATGGTTTTATATTAGTAGCATTGGCTATAAATTGATTTATTTTCAGAAATAACAATAAACATTTATATACGTATATATGAAACCAATTTCTAGATATGTATGAACTAAAAATAAAGTAGTCAACCGCAAATCTGAAAAGAAAATTCACTGTTAGATATCCATACTGATATGAATACATAAAATACTCACGATAAGCTGTAGAATGTTCATAAGGCTTTTAAATTTAATTATAAATAATTTAAATAGAAGAAGTAAATTAAAAAATATTTACCATTGTCTACAGCAGAGAAAATTCTTGCATTAAAAGCTATCGTCTCCAAAATATCCGAAAGCCCCTTGCTGTTATTATTTATAATAACATTTTCTTATTAAGACACAATAAACAAAACTTCCTTCCGTTTCACGGCTCATAATTCATTCATCGGTCGAAGGGAATTCTTGAGATTCTGCTCTAAAAAAACCGAACTTTAAGTCTGAAAAGTATGTGTTAGCCTATTTGTTACCAAGAATTTCTTTGCACTTGTACTCTTTATATTTTAATTTTTACAATTGTTTCTAAATGTTCTTTACTGATGAATTTTAAGTGTCTGTGTTGAGCAAATTTAAACAATTTTATTTATTTCATCGCTTTCCACACAAGTAAGCTTTAGCTCATGAATTTGGCTATATTTCATAGAATATTAAATAAATGGGTTTAGATATCCATTATATCATCACTATTATTTTGATTAATTAGTTATATTCTGCTGCAGGAAAGAAAGATTATACAATTCTTTAAGGCGTATGAAGCATATTTATGCATACTACGAATCAGAAAGTAGTCGTGGTTTTAATTTACTAAAGCATAAAATTGCTAACTATAATTCTCTTCTTTTTATTTTATTTATCTTAAATTCTTCAGTCGGCTACTACATATTATGCTTTAAAATGTTTAGAAGATCAAAAATGTAAAGTTATCAATATTTGTAACTTACAGAATTATGAACTCATGCGACTGATATTCGAAATCAGATTTGGATTCGCATCGTTTCACATTTGCTGGGAAATCCACGTCTTTTGTAGCTGTAAAATAACATAATAAAGAATTAAAATTGGCTAAGAATAGCGATTCACTTTTTAGCTGCAGCAATAAATGCTCCATACAAATGAATCGAGTAAGTAAAATTATGTAAAATTAATGCACTTTGCATGTTTAATTGAAATCGAAATTTCATGGCATTTTGAAGAATAAAACTCCCAAACTCTAAAATTTATGAATGAAAGCCTTTCTTCTTTCTTTAAACATATCTGATAAAATTTTAACTAAACTATCCGATATTTAAATTTGCCTTTAAATTTTATCCCTATTGTTAATTTTGAAGATAGACTGTTTGTAATGCAATTTTCGCGATTTTATATTATGTTATTGTTAGGATATTTATCATCCATTAAGTTAAGAATTGCTTTAATACAAAGCGTAAGAATTCTAATTCATCAATCTCATGTCTGCCATATTTCTAAATCTCAGAGATATTGCCATTCGATGAGACATCATAAATTCTTTAATTTATATTTCAATCTAAATTGTGCATTGTACAATTAACCCACCGATTCAAAAATATATGCATGTAATAATACAGAAATGTCTTTGAAGACAGATTATGCCGCGTGCTATAGAAATACTTGGAAGTAATCATACGCTGTAGATGTAGACTGAAGAAGTGGCAGCCGCAGCATGATTTAAATATTTTCTTCTTATTAAAGATGACACACACTTTTCAATGTACCAATACAAAATTACTTTACCGCATTAAGTGGGCCTGTTTCTTAAAAATTAAGTCTGCATCGTTACATTGTAAAAATATAATTTTGAACAGAGAGCAGAAGCAGCAAGCTTGTTACTAAGAAAAGGAGAAGCGAAAAGTGACATATCTCACAATCGAAGCTTAATTGAATGATTCCAGAAAGGTTTTGGTTTCTAAGTTTTGACAATCATTTCCAGATTAGCTGCACCATTGTATTATGAAAGTGATTTAGAGAATAAATATCCAAATTATAATGAAAAATGATTGCCAAGAAACATATTTACGCTATCTAGTCCGATGGAAGCCGTAAGTAGCATCACGATCTTTTCTACAGAAGTAACTGGCGCTAAAGTAATCTAACGCTAATTTGTGCTGGTATTGCACTCATGTATGAAGAGCTGAAGAAACATCGGAAAATATTCCACCAGTAAATTTTAAAGAAAGATGTCTTATATGAGATCGTTCAAGCAATTGGTAGAATGTATAGTCATTTTAAGTATTTATGTGCCATATTACTCAAAATATTAATGGAGAATCTTTCCTGATGGGCATGTAATCTCATGCCATGTAGACTGCCATGCTCCCAAAGAGGGACTATAAGAATTGTAGGTGTTAAACAGCCCCAAAAATGCAACCATAACCTCATCATTGAATAAAACATACAAACATAAGTCAGGATTTTTTGGAGCCTGCTATACCTACCAGGGTGTAAATTTAACAAGAAGAGGATAATTATCTTGAACTCTCTGAAAATCATCAGGATATTTTGCTACTTATCAAAAGAATTTAAGCACAGACAGAAGAACGGGGAGAAACCAATTGGGGAAGTATTGCATATAAAGAATCAATCTGGAAACTTAATTTAACATTAAAATACCGCTTGATAACTATGAACAAGTTTAATAACATTTCATTCATGATTCTATCAGCAATTTTAAGAATTTGTACAAGGGTAGTTTTTTTCATATTCTATTCATATGAAAATAACTGAGAGTTAAAGCCAGTAAGTAGCACGTTGTATAATGAATCTGTTCTACGAAAATGTCAGTTACAATAAAGGCGTTTTCCGGAATTTTACTAGGTAATTAATTTTTGTCCATTTCCGATCTCGGTCCAGAACCGTGAAAGTATCTTATAAATTCAGGGAGTATTCGTAAAACCATTTTTGGGAATGCTAAAAATTTACTAATTTAGAAGGTACAAAGGATTTAGGCGCACTATAAACTCACGCTTTCACAGTTTTCCAGTTGAATTTTGGGTATATATTTTCTCAGGCTATATTTGTAGATAAAATTTCAGTTAGCTTTGAAAAATCCAAATATCTTATCCAAATAATCTTAATCCAAATAATGTTGGTTTGCGTCTAAGCTGTTATTGTCTTTTATTCACATCTGTCTGTAATTTTATGGTCGATGATCCGAGTTTTAAAAAGTTAAATTCTAGTTTGAAAATTCTGAAGTGATAACTTCTTCCTTTACGTAGGAAGATCTTGGAAGTAATACATGACATTGTCATTTTACGGATCTACTATTCTGTTTACTTCTGGTTGACTGATTGTCATTGCTTGGCTGTGACCTCGGCCTTTTTTTTATTTCTTACTAAGGTTGCAGGAATTTTTTGCTCTTTTATTTTCACCAGACTAAACTTGCTTCTGAGATATCTCGTGTTCTTATTTAAGGAAGACTTGTAATTGTTTATTAGTAGCACAGTGTTACGAAATATATTTACTGCCCACTCTTTTGTTCACTTTAATATTCTTGCAAACAGATACATATAATGTATATATGTGCTTCTTAAACAGCATATAAAGAAAGTTTAGCTGTGCTTTTACTGTGTTGTTAAAGTGTACTAATATTAGGGTGCAACTCGTAAAGTAGAACTAATACGTTTTGCAGGACACTTTTAAACCTACCTCAAATTCATTACGCAGAACGTTCGTAGTACAAAACTCTGTTATCCGAAGCACTACGGTATTGATTTTCTTATGCTGATGTTGCCTTCTTTGCTATAGAATTTAGTGTCCTTAATTAGGATTCGTTAATTAATTTCTTCTAAAAATTTATAAAATTAAACTCCCCCTTTTTCGTTATTGTCGCTTGTCAAAGCATTTATTATTTTAAAATTTAGGAAAAGGAATATTAATGGAATCTAACAAATAATCCCTCCTTTATTTAATATATTTTCAATAAAATTTTGTAAGTCACTTAAGCTTAGCTGAGCAAAAAATAAGAAAGAGAAAAAGAGCATATATCATCTTTACTTACCGAGATTAATTAAGTCTTGAACATCATATTCACTACAAGAGGATGGCATGCAAAGTCCCAAGCGAAACATTACATGATCAGGATTTGAACGGATGTCTCGAAGAAATCCCAAGAACTAAAGAGAAAAACGAGTATATCAAAAGAAGTTCTTCAGCATGATGCTAAATCTTTATCTCAGAAGATAATTATTTTAAATATGAAGTTTTATCTTAGCCTACATATCAAGTAAGAACTTTTTAAATTTTATCTCATTCATTAGATTGTAAGAAGCATGCAATGTAATAAAATATTAATTTTGTTACAATAACATTTAATTTATTAAATTAGGAAGTACTTGATAGAAATTTATTTCATATTTTTGCCCATGTAAGCAAAAAAAAAAAAAAAAAAAAGATTGATCGAAAACATTTTTCACTGTATGCAAGCAGATGAATGAACCATTCAAAACGAGATAAATTTAACTAACAAAATGTTTAATGCTGCTGGCAAATTTAAAGTTAGTTTGGATCATTGATTTCTAAATGTACCTGCATTTACGACCACATTTTGAGCGTGTGCAATTTTGTTACAATCATCACAATAAAATGATTGATTAGAATTTAGGTAACTGAATACAAGGATGGCTTTATTGGCGACATTTGGCCATTACTAAAGATTAGCATCTTCATTCAGTGCTGAAAATGTTACCATTTTCACTGGTCTTTCGCTTTTACAACCGTCGTCAAACTAGTATTTCTCCGAATGTCTACAAATAAATATTTTACAGAAAATCACCAAACGAAAACGCTTTTAGGGAAGATATTCTTAATATGTTTGCTAATAATTACACAGTTATACACTTTTAAATTACGAAATGCAACTTAAAAAGCAGCTTAAAATTTTATGTTAAGATTAGCAGTTTAATATATATTACCGTTCGTGTTGTAACCAAAGAATAATTGTTTTCGATCTTTTTGACTTGGAAATCCTTCAGAGCGTTTAAGACTGGTTCAGGAGGTTTGATTTCCAGTAAACAATATTCCCCAGTCCTTGAGGTGTCAGTAATCTCTCCTCCTCCAACCACAACATTTAAACATTCATCATAATCTCCTAGAGCTGTAGACGTACCTTCTAATAAGCCTGCTGATGGTTTTCCATTTGAATCCAACACTAGAGTGAGTAAAAAACATTCTCAGTAAAACATTTGAACATATGAACATTTGAACTCTGGAAAATATTAAATATGAGTAAAGAAATACAAAGGTCAGTCACAGTGCACAATCCTCTCCAACTTATTAATGGTAAACAGAAGATAAATGCACTTTTTTAGGTAGAAGAATTTGTTCTTTGCTACCTAACCCATATCTATTTATTAGTTCCGGTTACAAAAAGGTACAAAAGTAAAGGGGACACTAGAAACATCACCATGGATCGCACGGGTCACTAACCGAATGGAAAAGCAACTCTTAACATGGGGCCCTGAGTTTTAATCGGTGATCTTGCATGGAAGAGGTGATAAGCTATTGTTGGGGATAAGACTCTTTCAAAGCATGAAATCAAAGCAATATGTATCGATGGCTTTGACATGGTGATTGGAACATCCGGGACACATATAAGCATTCTGTACCGCGCCACGCGTATAGGGAGAAATTCATGCTCGTGATTGGATACGGCTTCTAATGACATCCTTTCTTCTAATGACGCCTTGACTTTGCTTGGCTCGAAAGTACATGTCCACACAGTTTGTTTTCATTTTGATAGCAGTACTGAAAAGTTTATTATTATGAAGTGCGTTGCATTTTTGTTGCAGACTACACTTATTTCAGCACTGTAGTATGATGAAGTTAATATAAAAAAATGTAGTGCTGTTTTTTCTCTAGAGAGGAAAATCTGTATTTCTTTTAGTGCACTAACTCCCCAAATGTGTATTTATGTTAAATGCAGAGGTTTTAAATAAATGTATTCTTGATTTAAAAGCCTTCATATTAAAGATTTTGTGATTATTAATTAATTATTCATGCTTATTAAAAATAGATTCTTTGTAGATGCAATATCCGAAAGCAAGAGACAAGTCAGTTTTCGCAAAGAGCAAAAACGTTGGGAGCTAACATAATACACATATGTTATTTGTAAACAGTCTGAAAAGTAAAATTTATTTTTGACGTTAGACTACTATTGGAACACAGAAATAGAGGTACGTATGTATAAATATAATATTTCCCATGAATATGTACTTTATGAATATTGCCCATTTTTTAATGCGTAAAATCTCATCACGTATACCACGTATATTCTTGATATCTTTACTCCCCCATGAAGGTATCCCCTTCTTATGCAGATAGATGTAATAAGCAAAGAATCCCATAACGCAAAGAATCAAAATCGCTCTTTTTGCTCCGATGATTCATGTGTATAACCGTTATAGCATTTTTCACATGCGGCCACGAAAAATGCGTCGCTTGAGACGGCTTGAGACGAACCGTCTTACCGCCTTTCCCGAGCTACTCTACCGTGCCAGTACCTTTAAATTTGCATAACTTCGAATTTGAGTTAAACATCAGATATAAGCAAAGAACGATAGGATGGGATTTAAGCTAACTGTTATAACTTGAAATCTAACTGTTAATTTATTTCTGTGTAATGAATTAAAAATACGGTTAATTAAATTAATTCCGGTTTCTTTTCCATAAGAAGATCATCTGAAAAGGTAAGATTTTCCCGTTTATTCTTGATATCTTAGCGACCGATATTTTATTCTTGAATATTTTCTGAATTTTAGTGCAAAACCAAATTAAAAAAATAATCGCAATATCATTTACAAACGTTTTACTCTCCATCCCAAAGAATCAACAATGTTTCCCGCTCAAATTCAGTCCTCTAAAAATCTTTAAAATTATAAAAATAGGAAAGAACAGTACATAAAGAACACAAAGTTATTCAAAACATACTGTACTGCAAAATGAAATGAAAATATGCAAAATAATGAAAAAAATTAATAATATTCTAAATACCTAACTCACGTCATTATAAAAGAAAAATAACAATACAATGGCCAAATAATGCTTGAATTAAGAGGCTTTTCAACATTTAAATTTCTCAAGGAACAAGCTTTGCGTTTTAAATATACGCATAAATATATATGTAGTATTTTAATGCGTAGTAGGAATCCGGTTCTGTAACAGCTTTCGATAGTCAAGTGGAAAGGCAAGAAGATTTTGACACAAATCAAGACCATCTATTCAATCCCTGACTAATTACCATCTTTATTTCTAGGCACAGTAAAATCATTCTTCGTAGATAATATACTTTTTTATCATTAACTATTACTCATACACACAGGTAAAAGGGGACGACATCAAGCAGTGCAGCGGGGAGATTTTCAGCAGTGACGGAAGCTAGGAAAGGAATGACGTAATTACCTGTGAGCGGTATTTATACCTAGTAGATGCAGAAAGTACTAAGCTGTGATTGGTTATTTTTATTTTAGTTACCTTTTTCAATCAGCGTTATGTAACAGGAAAAGATCTCGAATTAGGGATAGCAGATAAATTTAGGGGAGAGAACACCGAATCTAGAACAGTTAATTTTGAGGTCGCCAGTTATTCTTAAAGCAGCCATCGTATTTTGTTATGTCTTACATATATATGTATATATAAGATAAAAATAGATAAATATACCCCTATATATTCTAAAAATATTTATACCTTTTCCTAAACTGCGTCATTTCTAGAACAATTCATATCATATGACTTGCATAAGGCTGAGGACTTTGCTAATTTCGAGCATAAACCGAAACTTTCTCTTAATAGTCTGCCATAATGGATAACTACACCCATTTGCTTGTAGTTCTCTTGCCGTTAAAAACCTGGCATGCTGCCTTTCTTATTACCACCATTAGTATCAAAAATGTAAATGTTCTTCAATAGGCAGGATTAGAGTGCCAAGTGAATTGTGGCCTCAAGAAATAAAGATGAATATTTAATTTGCCTCGGCTGCCAATTTTGCTTTTCAAAATGGATCAATACTCTAAGCAATCAAAATGCTTGCTGTTCATTATAGATTCAATATTTTACGTGATATGGAATCTACGTGTTACGTCATCAATATTGTTAAGTGCTCTTATTACAAGCCATACGTAATGAAATACAAATGAAGAAGTTCATAAACCAGTACTGAATTATGCTCTAGTATAAGCTGCAATAACTGATAGTAATATAGTAAAAAAGTCGAAAAATTAGGAATTTGGAAAATTAGAAACATTTAAACTCACAATACAGAACTGTCCTATATAAGAAATTGACAGTTTGGATTTTACTAATGCAAAGCCCTAAATCTGAACACTTCGAATATTTTTTTTTTCTTTTAACAAGACACAGAAGTACTTGTCATCTAGAGTGCATTCTAATATCATCAAGCTAGAAGGAACTGTAGAGGCTGAAACAGTGTTCGTTCCATTACTTGATTGACCATTTTTAAGATAATAATCGAGATCTCTTCATGTTTTGTTATAGGCGATTTTCCTGTGAGGAAATATGTGACTACTTTTGAACACGTCAGTGCCACATATGAGTGTTTCGTAACAGCAGTATGCTTACTCTAGTAGAAAGCAAAGCAATGGATAAATGTCACTGAAACAAGTTGGAGAATTATATTACATATATTAGGCTGTAAAACAACTATAATTTTCTTTCTTTTGAAGAGCGAGAATTCATTGTGCTTTTGTTGAGGCCAGGTATTTTCTGTTTCAAATATAGAAAGAATCATTTCCTTAAATGGGCTTCCAATGAGAAATAGAAGTATGGAGATTTAAATCAACGAGAAGTTTTGCGGTTAGCTTTGCTATAGCATCAGCCCTTTCATTTCCAAAACTTCCACAGTGTCTGCGATAGTAAACAGAATGAATGTCGATATCAAGATCTTGCAAGGCCTTAGTAATAACCTGAATTTCTAGTAACAGCCTGAAAGGCAAGTTTCTTTGAAAAACTAATTTTCTGTAATAATTACAGCTAAGAAAGAGAACCACTACACGTTAACGCGCACTTCGATCTCAAACTACAACAAGAATTTTGAACCCATTTCACAGCAAGGTGCAAACACACAAAAAAGAGGCCTTATCACTAATTCTGTTTGAATTATCATTCTTGTATATCTTTACAGCCAACAAAAGCTTCGCTAACTTTATCGTTCACCTTACTTCTGTCAGTTAAACACATTAATTTGTGCTCTTCAAGAATCAGAATACCACCAGCTCAACTACTGCTGTAGGATTCTTGCTAAAAAGATGCGGTGAAGAAGAAACTGGAAGACAGCCGTTAAGAAGCTTTTATAAAGGATTTTCTGCAAATGCTTTCCTTCACCTCAATGTTGCTCAAAATTTCAATACATATCGTTGGGATACCGACAACAGTAAAAGGTGCTTTATAATTAATAATTCAGTAGCCCCGAGCAATTATTAGAAAAGAAATATCCTTTGAATTCGGAAAACATTGGCCATAGGAATTTACATTGAGTGATAATAATATTTTAAATGGCAGAAATATTACTATTCTGGCACTTTTAAATTTGGAAAGTCTATTTTCAAATTTAGTCTTCAATTTGTAAACATTTAGCATATAAAGTTTATGCTATCTCACGGTACATGTAGTAGTAGAAATTTATATTCATTGCAAAGAATAAACTATAAAGAGTTTGACTCTCATGCAACAAAAGTTCGCTGAGATACTTAATTTCAAAATTCGGGACTGTTTGCCGAACTGCCACATTTTTCTACTTTGAGTTATCTGTTAAAAGTAAATTAGAACAATTTTGGTTAATTTTCTTCCCTTTAACATCATTCAGTGATATTCATTTATGATTTAGGAATGTGTAACTTTGCTTAATTTATAATTTTGCTACGTATGGTAGGCTCAAGGAATTTCCATATAAATAATATGTAAATTTTCGTATGTTAAAAATACGTCATTATCATTTACATGCAGTTATTACTCTAAACTTATATCAACTAATCATATGAAAATTTCATATCAACTAGTCATAGGAAAAATTAAAATGAAAAATAAGATCATTTTGAAAAAAAGTGTGTTAATTAATACTTTTAATGACAATCCGCATAATTTAATTTGTTAACATCGGAAGCCTTTTCCTAAACTAATGCTTCATTTTTA